TGTTGAGGCTAAAGGTGCTTTTCTGCCACGTGGCAGCTGAGCCCCAAACCCTAGATGAGCATTTGGGCTCATAGGGAAGAGGAGCAGCCCCAAATCAAGTGGTAAATAGGCCCAGCACACACACAATAAAGGGGAGTCAAGGGTAGAGCAGCTCTGTGCAAGGGAACCCTTTGTAAATTAAGTGTTTTTCTTTTTTTATTTAAATTGATTGCTGGAAAGCATTTTTTAACCGTGATGTGATGGATAATGACTTTTTTTCCTTTTTTTTTTTCCTTTTTTTTTTTTTTAAAAAATAAAAAAGCTAATGTACCCCCAAGCTATTTTGTAAAAAAAAAAAAAAAAAAAAACAGGTAGCACGTGCAATGTTTAAACAAAAGGAAAGAACCAAAAAGTACCACATGTGATTGTTGCTCACAACTGTACACGGCGCCCCCGGGAGCCCCCATCTCCTTCACAGTAGTAAAAACTCTGCCCCTTGTTTGCAGCCCCCCGTGCACTCAGGTACCTGTTGGTGCTCCGCAGCAGAATGTGCAACTCCATCCTTGGAAAAGGAACAAAAACCAGCCGGACAAGCGGGATAAACAGCCATAGAAACAAGTCCATGGGCCCCAGGCAGGAGAAAGGGGGCCCCAGCAGAGCCCTGCGTCCCTCCATCCCACCCTGTGCCCACACGCGAGTTTTTCTCCTTTAAAACCAAATATCCAACCCCCGAAAGCAACAATCCTCGAGTCCGTGCTCCGTGTGCACTGCAGGGGCCAGGCGGGGACAAGTCCCCACTGAAGTAAACATGGACCGGAACTTGCCTTTTTTCTTCTTTTTTTTTCTTCTTTTTTTGTCTGTCTTTGGTATTATTTTTAAAAGTTGCTAGAGATGCATAGACACCTGAATGAGGAACTGAGTACAGTTTCCAGGGAGGAGGAGATGGTGGGGAAGGAAGGGGCTCTGCGTTTCATTTTTCTCGGGATTTTTTGCTATTCTTTTTGCTGAGAGGGGGCCAAATGCCACCGGGAGGAGCAAAGGCCTCTTCCCTTCCACACTGGAGTCACTTTGTGTCCCTTGGAAGGCCAAGAGGAGCAGCCAGGCCCTCCTCCACGAATCCTTTCCATCCTTCTCTCCCCTTGGGTTGTCTCGATACATCTTTGGGTCGTCGTCTTTTCTTCCTTCCCTTTTTACAGTTTAAAAACACTTTGTTTTTTTTTCCAAA